CGCACCATTGCACTCCAGCCTGGGTAACATGAGTGAAACTCCGTCTCAAAAAAAAAAAAAAAAAAAAAAAGAAATGAGCTCTCACTATGTTGCCTAGGCTTGCTCTACTTTCTGAAGAGGAGTTGTCTCCATAAGTTATTTGCAGTACTGCATGGGAGATTTGCCTCTTCTCCCCACTTTATTCAATCATTTATTTATATCAGTAGGGACTGGCAGATATTTACTTATTTATATTTTGAGATGGAGTTTTGCTCTTTTTGCCCAGACTGGAGTGCAGTGGTATGATCTTGGCTTATGGCAACCTCCGCCTCCCAGGTTCAAGTGATTCTCCTGCCTCAGCCTCCTGAGTAGCTGAGATTACAGGTGCCCACTACCACGCCTGGCTAATTTTTTATTTTTAGTAGAGACAGGGTTTCATTATGTTGGCCAGGCTGGTCTAGAACTCCTGACCTCACATGATCCACCCGGCTTGGCTTCCCAAAGTGCAGGGATTACAGGTGTGAGCCACTGCGCCCGGCCTATGTATGTTTTGAGACAGAATCTTGCTCTGTTGTCCAGCCTGGAGTGCAGTGGTGCAATCTCTGCTCACTGTAACCTCAGCCTCCTGGGTTCAAGTGATCCTCCCATCTCAGGCTCCCGAGGAGCTGGGACCCCAGGCGTTCATCACCACATCTGGCTAATTTTTGTATTTTTATTAGAGACCAGGTTTTGCCATGTTGCCTAGGCTGGTCTGGAACTCCTGACTTCAAGCGATCTGCCGGCCTTGGCCTCCCAAAGTGCTGGTATTATGGTCCTGAGCTACCGCACCTGGCCGAATTTTTTATTTTTTATTTGTTTGAGACAGAGTCTTGCTCCAGGCTGGAGTACAGGGGCACCATCTCGGCTTATACCATGTTGCCCACGGGGGTCTTGAACTCCAGGGCTCAAGTGATCCACCTGTCTCAGCCTCCCAAAGTGCTGGGGTTACAGGCGTGAATCACTGCACCCGGGCTTCTTGAGTATTTTTTGTCCCAGTTTTGGAGTCAGCTATTTCTCCAAAGAGCACTGGTTACTTTCATTGGAGAATTATATTAAAAAACCAAGATCTAGGTGCCAGGTTATGCTCATTGCTACCAGGGTGCACAGATATTTTAATGTATATGTAACATGAAATTTACCTTTTTGACTTTTTTTTTTTTTTTTTTTTTTTTTTTTTAGAGACAGAGAGTCTCCCTCTCTCAGGCTGGAGTAAAGTGGTATGCTCATAGCTCATTGTAGCGTCAAACTCCTGGGCTCAGGTGATCCTCTTGCCTTAGCCTCCCAAAGTGTTAGGATTACAGGTGTGAGCCATGGCATTTGGCCTCTTTTTTACTATTTTTTAATTTGTATTTTTTTGAGATGGAGTCTAGCTCTGTTGTCCAGGCTGGACTGCAGTGGTGCAATCTCAGCTTACTGCAACCTCTACCTCCTGGGTTCAAGTGATTCTCCTGCCTCAGCCTCTCGAGTAGCTGGGACTACAGGCATGTGCCACCACACCCGGCTAATTTTTTTGTTTTTTTATTAGAGATGGCCTGAATGGGATTAAAATTTTTTTAATTTGAGTCATAGTCTCACTCTGTCACCCAGGCTGGGGTGCAGGGGCCGGATCTTGGCTGACTGCAAACTCTGCCTCCTGGGTTCAAGCAATTCTTGAGCCTCAGCAGCCTCCAGAGTAGCTAGGATTAAAGGTGTGCGCCAAAATGCCTGGTTAATTTTTGTGTTTTAGTAGGGACGGGGTTTTGCCATGTTGGGTAGGCAGGTCTTGAACTCCTGGCTTCAAGTAATCTGCCTTCCTTGGCCTCCCAAATTGCTAAGATTATAGGTGTGAGACACCTTGCCTGTTTTTTTTTTTTTTTTTTTTTTTTTTTTTTTTGTGACAGACTCTCATTGTGTCGCCCAGGCTGGAGTGCAGTGGTGCAATCTCAGCTCACTGCAACCTCTCACTCCCGGGTTCAAGCAATTCTTCTGCTTCAGCCTCCCAAGTAGCTGGGACTACAGGCACCCACCATCATGCCTAGCTAATTTTTGTATTTTTAGTAGAGACAGGGTTTCACTATGCTGTTGGCCAGGCTGGTCTTGAATTCTGACCTCATGACCCACCCACCTTGGCCTCCGAAAATGCTGGGATTACAGGCGTGAGCCACTGCAGCCCGGCTGGTCCGTTTTACCTATTAAATAACATTAGGTAGATTCACACTGCTGTGAAACCATCTATACTATCTATTTCCAGAACTTCTTCGTCATCCCAAATTGAACCTCTGTATCTATTAAACAATAACTCGCCATCCTCCTAACACCCATGGCGGACCCTGGTAACCGCTATTCTACTCTCTAACTATGAATTTGACTATCATAGGTCCCTCATATAACTGGAACCATACATTGTTTGTCCTTATGCTTCTTTCACTTAGCATGTCTTCTAGGTTCATCCACGATGTTGTAGCAATTAGAATTCCATTCCTTTTTAAGGAGGAATAGTATTCCATTGCATGTACTGTACATACAACTCGTGTATGTGTGTGTGTGTTTAAAACATAGGGGTCTTGCTCTGTTGCCGAGGCTGAACTTGAACTCCTGGCTTCAAGCCTCACGACTCAGCCTCCCCAACAGCCGAAACTACAGATACTCTCCACCGTCAGTGGCTAGCTTCTATTTTCAAATATAAAAATTTAAAACATAGATGTTGCTTTTTTTTTTTTGCTCAATAATACATTTGTATTATTTATTTATTTATTTATTTAGAGACGGAGTCTCTCTCTGTCGCCAGGCTGGAATGTAGTGGCGGGATCTCGGCTCACTACAACCTCCGCCTCCAGGGTTCATGCGATTCTCCTGCCTCAGCCTCCCGAGTAGCTGGGACCACAGTCAACCACCAACACCCCCGGCTAGTTTTTTGTCTTTTTAGTAGAGACGGGGTTTCACCGTGTTCGCCAGGATGGCCTCGCTCTCCTGACCTCGTGATTCGCCATCCTCGGCTTCCCAGAGGGCTGGGATTACGGGCGTCAGCCACCGCGCCCGGCCACGTGAATAAAGTTTTAAACGAAAAGCAAACAGGAAACGAGCGTCGGCGGCGAATCTGCAGCTACCAATGTAAAGGTCGGGTCGCGGCCGGCGCGGAGAATCTGCCGTCGCCTGCAGCCGCTCGCTTGTCTCGGTGGGAAGATAGCTCCAGCTTTGCTGAGGTGAGTGGAAGCGGCTCGGAGGGAGCGGCAGCCAGGCTGGAGAGAAGGAAGAGGGGAATGCGGCCTGGACGCTGTGCCCGCGCTTGTGTGGGCCGCCATGTTGAAACCTGGCAAAGGGGATGACGTTCTGGGTTGCGTTGCGAGGAGCGGGGACGAGGGCTGGGCTGGAAGGATGGCCCCTTCCTCCCTGCGGCTCCCACAAAAAAAAAGGGGGGGGGAGCGGCCTTGAGGGTCGGCGGGCACGCTGGAGGCTGGATGGGGAGGATGGGCTTTTGCACAGAGACTTCCGTGTTTGCCTCCGAGCCCCACTGCGCATGCCTTGGAGGGCTCTGTGGGTCCCGCCTTCGGCTTTGCTTCCCTGAGGAGCGGTAAAGTCTTACTCTGAAGACCCTGGAAGGAGAGGCTTAATTTCTCCCCCCGCCGCACCGTCCCCCAGAGACAGGGACTCGCCCAGAATGGAGCAGTGGCGCGATCTTGGCTCACTGCTGCCTCGACATCCCGGGTCAAGCGATTCCCCTGTCTCAGCCTCCCAAGTACCTGGGACCATAGGCGCGACCCCAGACACAGAAAATTGATTGATTGATTGAAATGGGGTCTCACTTTGTTGCCCAGTCTGGTTTCGAATTTCCGGCCTCAAGCGATCGTCCCGCCTCGGCCTCTCAAAGTGCTGGTGTTACAGGTGTGAGCCACTGCGTGCCTGGCCAAAATTTTTCTAAATTTGTATAGTAATTTGTAATTGTAAAGTATTTTCATAGACACTATATTATCTAATCTTAACAAACACCTAGTTAAGTGACGTTTAGCTACATTTCACAGTAAGAATCCTGAAGCTCAACATTTACTGAGCTCAAATGATCCACCGGATTCGGCCTCCTAAAGTGCTGGGATTACAGGTGTGAGCCACCGCACCTGACCCCCACCATTCATTTCTGCTCTCATCTGCTGTTGATGAATAAAATGAGAGAATGAGGCTGGGCGCGGTGGTGCACACCTGTAATTTCAGCACTTTGGGAGGCTGAGTCACTTGAGGACAGGAGTTGGAGACCAGCCCGCCCATCGTGGTGAAACCTTGTCTCTACCCAAAATACAAAAATTAGCCAGGTGTGGTGGTGCACACCTGTAATCCCAGCTACTTGGGACACTGAGACAGAGAATCACTTGTACCGGGGAGGCAGAGGTTGCAGTGAGCCAAGATTGGCCATTGCACTCCAGCCTGGGTGACAGAGGGAGACTTTGTCTCAAAAAAAAAAAAAAAAAAAAAAGTGTGTATATATATGTGTGTGTGTATATATAAATCAAAGGAGATTGTTGTAGGAAATCCCAACCTAACGCTGCAGGGGAGGAACTGCACCTAGAAAGATTGAGAAACAATGAAACCAGTGGTTAGTATCTCTAGAAGCATGCAGATGAGAGAGAGAACAAAATCCATGCTTACCCCTTTATAATATCTTCCATTTTAATTTGAAGAAGTCTTAAAGCTTTGAACAGGAGGTCTGTGTACAATAATATCAGTTTTATTTGGTAGATCCTTGTGACTTTTATTTTTTTGAGATGGAGTCTCACTCTGTTGCCCAGGCTTGAGTGCTGTGGTGTGATCTTGGCTCACTGCAACCTCTGCCTCCCCGGTACAAGCGATTCTCTGTCTCAGTGTCCCAAGTAGCTGGGATTACAGGTGTGCACCACCACACCTGGCTAATTTTTGTATTTTGGGTAGAGATAGGGTTTCACCATGTTGGCCTTGAACTCCTGACTTCAAATTATCTGCTCTTCTCTGCCTCCCAAACTGCTAGGATTACAAGCATGAGCCACCGCACCTGGCCCCTTGTGACTTTTTAATGTTGAATGGGGAGGGATTCTTTTCCTTCAGTGGAGGAGGGGTGGGTCTCAGCCTCAGACACCCAGAATACTAGTTTGTGTGTTTCTTTTAACCATCCTTATCTCCAAAACCTTGGATTTTATGAAAAGCATCAGAGGAAATGATTAAGAGCTCTATCTCTGGAGTCCATACTGCCCTGGTTCTAACTCTTCCACTGGGCTACTTCTTAGCTTTAGGATTTGAGACAAAAGACTGCTGTTTTGTGTCTGACCTTTCTCATCTGAAATGGTAATAATAATATTGTTCCTAAGTATTGTTGAGAAGTGAGGGAGTTAAGAGGCTATTACAGGCTGGGTACAGTGGCTCACACCTGTAATCCCAGTGGGAGGCTGAGGAGTTCAAGACCAGCCCATGCAATATAGTGAGACCCCATCTCTACAAAACAAAAAACAACGAAAAAGACAGCTGGGTATGATGGCGCATAGGGAGTAATCCCAGGTACTCATGAGGCTGGAGTGGGAAGATTGCTTGAGCCCAGGAGGTTGAGGCTGCAGTAAGCCATGACTGTGCCACTGTACTCCAGCCTGGGCAACAGAGCAAGACTCTGTCTCAAAAAAAAAAAAAAAAAAAAAAAAAAAAAAAAAAGCTTAGTACAGTGGTTGGCACCTCCTACATGTTCAGTACAAGTTGGCTATAATTATAGTCCTTTATCCTGCCACCAGGTGATGGAGGTGGGGGAGTAAGATTAAACTCCTCCAAGAATTTTCCAGTAGAATGAGCTTGTTATAGAGAATATTAGCTCAGGGGTTCTCTATTGAAGTAATGTAGTGCCATCTCTTCTCTCTTCCTCCCTTTCCTTCTTTTCTTTCTTTCTTTCTTTTTCTTTTCTTTTCTTTCCTTTTTTTGAGACGAAGTCGCCCTGTCACCCAGGCTGGAGTGCAGTGGCATGATCTTGGCTCACTGCAACCTCCGCCTCCTGGGTTCAAGCGACTCTCCTACCTGAGCCTCCCGAGTAGCTGGGATTACAGGCATGTGCCACCACGTCTGGGTAATGTTTTGTGTCTTTAGTAGAGGCGCAGTTTCACCACGTTGTCCAGGCTGGTCTCGAACTCCGGACATCATGATCCACCCGCCTCTGCCTCCCAAAGTGCTGGGATTATAGGTGTGAGCCACCTGCCTTGGCCTTTTTTTTTTTTTTTTTTTAGATTATATTACTTGATTTTATTTTACACTAGGTGGTGGACGCAAAGCAATCCTCCTTATTGAAGCTGACAATTAGCTTCACTCAACATTTTTAATAATGCACATTAAAAAAAAGTATTCATTTTACAGATTCTTCTGCAATCCAAACATACAATAGCTTGGAGAACAATGTTTAGAAAACAAAAGGCAATGTAAAAAGACAGATTAAAGGCTGGGCGCGGTGGCTCAAGCCTGTAATCCCAGCACTGTGGGAGGCCGAGGCGGGTGGATCACGAGGTCAAGAGATCGAGACCATCCTGGTCAACATGGTGAAACCCCGTCTCTACTAAAAATACAAAAAATTAGCTGGGCATGGTGGTGCGTGCCTGTAATCCCAGCTACTCAGGAGGCTGAGGCAGGAGAATTGCCTGAACCCAGGAGGCGGAGGTTGCGGTGAGCTGAGATCGCGCCATTGCACTCCAGCCTGGGTAACAAGAGTGAAACTCCGTCTCAAAAAAAAAAAAAAGACAGATTAAAATAACTAGAACAGTACAGGTTTTATATGGCTCGGATTTTAAAGTTTTCTTACTGCATCACCAATGTCAGAAATCTGTTCCTTCAGCTGGCTCCATTGTTCTGGATTTAAAGAAATACCTTTTCTTCCTGGTTTCATTTCACCTTCTGGATCCATCCAATATTCCCTAATATCAATTAGCACTTTCCCTTTAAAATCTCAAACGCTAACATACCTCATTTTCCCAATCTGAAACATGTTATCATCTCTGCTGCTGCTGCTCTGTTTAGAAGATGACAGAGCTCTCGTTTCACCCGTCTTTTGCTTCTTTACAGTTTTTTCTGGAGCAACTTGCTTTTTCCTCTTTAACTTTTTGTCAACCTCACTGTCAGAATCACTGCCAGAAGAGCTTGAAGAGACAAGTTCCTTTGATTTAGGCATCGCTCCACTCGGCTCTGGCAGTCGCACACTTTTTTTTTTTTTTTTTTTTTTTTTTAAATAGATGACAGCGTCTCACCATGTTGCCCAGGCTTGTCTTGAACTCCTGGGCTCAAGGGATCCTCCTGTCTTGGCCTCCCAAAGTGCTGGGATTACAGGCGTGAACCACCGTGCCCAGCCTCCTCTTTTTTTTTCACATGGAGAAATTCTAGCCATGAGAGAAGACACAAATTGAGTTAGAGCCAAAGCCCAGACCAGGACTGAAATTGTCTCCCTCTCATCCTGTGCTCCTTCTGTCACTCCATCTGTTTTTCATTCTTTACTGATGGCAGAGAGGCAGCCTCTGCAAAGTTGTTTGTTGATGATGACAGAAATATTGCCCTCCTTTTAGCACGTGGTGGTAAACAGTGTAATGTCCTGCTTCTTGGTTCTCAATGAAATGATCAGGTTTGCTTGATTTGGACTAAAAAAAAATCTATGATTTTCTTTTTTGGGACAGGGTCTTGCACCCAGACTGGAGTGCAGTGGCACTATCTCAGCTCACTCCAACCTCTGTCATTCCCGGGTTCAAGTGATTCTCCTGCCTCAGCCTCCCAAGTAACTGGGATTACAGGCATCTGCCACGACGCCCAGCTAATTTTTGTATTTTTAGTAGAAACGGGGTCTCACTATGTTGGGCAGACTGGTCATGAACTCCTGACCTCATGATCTGCCCACCCCGGCCTCCCAAAGTGTTGCTATTACAGGCGTGAGCCACTGTGCCTGGTCAGTTTTGATTTTTGGTCGAAGTTGGTTCAGTTCCCCAGCATTTATCAGAAAGCATCCTAGGATCTGGAGCTACTGCTAGAGAGTGTTTACTGTGTGTTGGGCAAAGCATGATCAGAACTTAAGAAGGTTCATCGAGCTGTGGCAGAGACACAATTGCTTCATAGTGGGGGGAGCTGAAGCTGGACTTGACAGGCCCAGAATTCCCGAAAGTGGGTATGAGGGAGACAGAAAGGGAGAGGATACTCCCAGCAGAGGAAATCATACTGAGATGTTTGCACAAATGGCTGAGGCCAAAAAGAAAGAAAAATTGCACTGGGAAAGAATGGGGCTGGGGAATTAGGGGACATTCAAGGAGAGAGGAGCAAGCCTGTGTAGTTTACAAACAGGGTTTGTGCCTGTTGAAAGTATCAGGAAAAAATAAAAAAGAATAGGTTTTTTTTTTTTTGAGATGGAGTCTCACACTGTTGCCTGTGCTGGAGTGCAGTGGTGCGATCTCAGCTTGCTGCAACCTGTGCCTCCCAGGTTCACGTGATTCTCCTGCCTCAGCCCCCTGAGTAGCTGGGATTACAGGCGCCTGGCTAATTTTTTGTATTTTTAGTAGAGACAGGGTTACGCTATTTGGCCAGACTGGTCTCGAATTCCTGACCTCATGATCCACCTGCCTCGGCCTTCCAAAGTGCTGGGAAGAATATGTTTTATGATGGGACGTGGTGAGAAGCTAAGTGAGCATCAGAGTTTTTTTTTTTCCCCTTCTGACACAGAGTCTCGCTCTGTTGCAGAGGCTGGAGTGCAGTGGCATGACCTTGGCTCACTGCAACCTTTGCCTCCCAGGTTGAAGGCATTCTCCTACCTCAGTCTCCCGAGTAGCTGGGATTATAGACACATACCACCATGCCCAGCTAATTTTTTGCATTTTTAGTAGATACGGGGTTTCAATCATGTTGGTCAGGCTGGTCTTGAACTCCTGACTTCAAGTGATCCTCCTGTCTTGGCCTCCTAAATTGCTAGGATTTCAGGCATGAGTCAGCACACCTGGCCTAGGGTGAGAGGTCTTGAGTGCAGTGCCATTGACTTTGGATTTTTTTCTGTGTTTTCTTCACTGAGGGAAAAAAAAATTCACAGTTGACCAGTAAGTAACCACTCCTCCTATATAACCCAACAACTGAGGGAGAAATAAAGCAGAAAGATCCTTGAGGAGAATTGGAGTAAGAGGAAAAGAGTTGCAGATATTTCAATAAATATTACGGGAAGACGCTGTTAGGAATGAGAACTACTGTACATATTTCACAGAAACCTGTTTTTTTGCTTTTTGTTTTTGTTTTGAGACAGGATCTCACTCTGTTGCTCAGGCTGGAGTACAGTGGCATGATCAGGGCTCACTGCAGTTTCAACTTCCAAGGCTCAAAACCATATCCTCCTGTCTCAGCCCCCCAAGTAGCTGGGACTACAGGTGTGCACCACCATGCCTGACTAATATTTTTTAATTTTAGTAGAGATGAGTTCTTGATATGTTGCCCAGGCTAGTCTCCAACTCCTGAACTCCTGAACTCCTGGCCTCCTAATGTACTGGGATTTCAGGTGTGAACCACTGTGCTGGGCCAAGATTTTTTTTTCTTTTTTTTTTTTTTGAGACGGAGTCCCACTCAGTCTGTTGCCCAGGCTGGAGTGCAGTGGCATGATCTCAGCTCACTGCAACCTCTGCCTCCTGGGTTCAAGTGATTCTCCTGCCTCATCAACATCATGAGTAGCTGGGATTACAGGTGCATGTCACCGTGCCCGGCTAATGTTTGTATATTTAGCAGAAACGGGGTTTCACCATGTTGGCCAGACTGGCCTCAAACTCCTGACCTCATAATCTGCATGCCTTGGGCTACCAAAGTGCAGAGATTATAGGCATGAGCTACTGCACCTGCCAGTTGGTTTTTTTTTTTCCTTAACCTTTGGGAATTCCTCCAGGAAAGACCTGGTGGGTATTTTGTGTGTGTGTGTGTGTGTGTGTGTGTGTGTGTGTGTGTGTGTGTGTGTGTGTGTGTGTGTGTTTTGAGACAGAGCCTCGCTTTGTTGCCCAGGCTGGAATGCAGTGTGATCAGCTCACTGCAGCCTCCACCTCCTGGGTTCAAGCAGTTCTTCTGCTTCAGCCTCCCAAGTAGCTGGGACTACAGGCACACGCCACCATGTCCTACTAATTTTTGTATTTTTAGTAGAGATGGAGTTTCACCATGTTGGCCAAGTGGTCTCGAATTCCTGACCTCAGGTGATCCACCAGCCTCAGCCTCCCAAAGTGCTGGGATTACAGGCATGAGCTACCACGCCTGGCCTTCATTTTTAGTTTTTAAGATCTTTTTTTTTTTTTTTAATTGTACTTTGGGCTCTGGGGTACATGTGCACATCCTGCGTTTTAAGATCTTTTTAAATAAAAAATATTTTTTTTAGAGACAGGGTCTCCCTATGTTGCCCATACTGGTCTTGAACTCCTGGCCTCAAGCAATCCTCCTGCCTTGGCCTCCCAAAGTTGAGATTACAGGTATGAGCCACCATGCACAGCTACGGTTCTTTTTATTTATTTTTTTTGAGACAGAGCCTCATTTTGTCCCCCAGGCTGGAATCCAGTGGCATAATCTCAGCTCACTGTAACCTCTGCCACTCGGGTTCAAGCAATTTCCCTGCTTCAGCGTCCTGAGTAGCTGGGACTACAGGCGTGCACCACCACACCCAGCTAATTTTTTGCATTTTAGTAGAGATGGGGTTTCAGCATGTTGGTCAGGCTGGTCTCGATCTCCTGACCTCGTGATCTGCCTGTCTTGGCCTTTCAAAGTGCTGGGATTACAGCCATGAGCCCCTGCACCCAGCCCCAAAGTTCTTTTTTATTATTTTTTAATTGAAATGGCTGGTCTCGAACTTCTAGACTCAAGTGATCCTCCAGCCTTGGCCTCCCAAAGTGCTATAGCTATGGGCTTGAGCCATGCCTGACCTTAGCCAAGGTTTTTTTTTTTTGAGACAGAGTCTTGCTCTGTCGCTCAGGCTAGAGTGAAGTGGCGCGATCTTGGCTCACTGCACCCTCTGCCTCCTGGTTCAAGCAATTCTCTGCCTCAGACTCTTGAATATCTGGGATTACAGGCACCCACCACCACGCCTGGCTAATTTTTGTATTTTTAGTAGAGACGGGGTTTTATCAACTAGGCCAGACTGGTCTTCAACTCCTGACCTTGTGATCTACTCGCCTTGGCTTCCCAAAGTGCTGGGATTACAGGCGTGAGCCACCATGCTCAGTCAGCCAAGGTGTGTAAGTAACATATTTCAGCATTGGCTCTGTAGTTTTGTAGGTTGGTCACATAAGCATTAGCTGGGTCTGAAACGTTAGTAAGCATTTTATTATTCCAGCAAAGATTCCCACAAATTAATTATGTATCAGAAGGAATGAGAACTGCAGTGTGCTTGCTGGGCGAAAAAATTACCATTGCAGTAAATTCTTATGCTGCCAGGCATAACCGGATTATCAGCTAGGGAGCTGAGAAGAAATCCAATATTCCTTTTGAACCAAATAACCCGCTGCTGAGTCACGTAGCTTTAGCTTTGTTATCTGTTTACTGCAAAATGGTGTATCCAAATCTTCATTTTCTCTTGTAGTTTTCAAAAAGTCTGTATCTTTTAATGATGCATAGTAAAAAATTTATGAATGATGTGAGATCTAGAATTTGTTTCAGAATTATCTGGGGGCAGAATATTCTGACCACAGGTACGTGGAGGTTCTAGCTGAGCCAGGTGAGAAGTTTGTGGACGGTTATTATATGATTCTCTATGTTGGTATTTGTTTGAAATTCTTGGTAGTAGAGTTTTTAAAATGCCATTTTCCACAAGCAGTTCCTGAGCTAGTTTTCCTGTGATCATTTTCTTTTCTTTTCTTTTTTTCCTGTGATCATTTTAAAGGCTCTGAAAGGGAATTCTGAGTTTTGATCCACGCTGCCACATTGTAATGTGGTAAGTGCCCTTCCGTGGCTGAGCCAGATAATCCATGTATGGATGAAACCCAGCACGCCACCCTCTGCTTCCCAAGAGGGCATTTGCAGGAGTGGGTGAGGGCTTCTCTGGAGCACGACTGCCTGGCTTTGATGCTGTCTCCCCCACTTACTAGTGGGGAGGGCTTAGCCTCTGTGGGTGTTCCCTTCCTTTCCTATCTTCAAGAAGGGGTGATTGGTAGTATCTGTTTCATGGGGTTGTTGTAAGGGTTGAATGAGTGGCTCCGAGTAGATGCTGCATCCACACTTGCTGTTATCATTCTTAGAACATGAACGATTGGGTGCCCATCGCCAAGGAGTATGATCCACTGAAAGCGGGTAGCATCGATGGCACCGATGAAGACCCACATGACCGCGCAGTCTGGAGGGCAATGCTGGCACGATATGTCCCCAACAAAGGTGTCATAGGAGATCCCCTCCTCACTCTGTTTGTGGCCAGACTAAACTTGCAGACCAAGGAGGACAAATTAAAGGAAGTCTTTTCCCGCTATGGTGACATCCGGCGGCTTCGGCTGGTCAGGGACTTGGTCACAGGCTTTTCAAAGGGCTACGCCTTCATCGAATTCAAGGAGGAACGTGCCGTGATCAAAGCTTACCGAGATGCTGACGGCCTGGTTATTGACCAACATGAGATATTTGTGGACTATGAGCTGGAAAGGACTCTCAAAGGGTGGATCCCTCGGCGACTTGGAGGCGGTCTGGGGGGAAAAAAGGAGTCTGGGCAACTGAGATTTGGGGGACGGGACCGGCCTTTTCGAAAACCTATTAACTTGCCAGTCGTTAAAAACGACCTCTATAATAGAGAGGGAAAATGGGAAAGGCGGGAGCGATCTCGATCCCGAGAAAGACACTGGGACTCGAGGATAAGGGATCGAGACCATGACAGGGGCCGGGAAAAGAGATGGCAAGAAAGAGAACCACCCAGGGTGTGGCCCGAAAATGACTGGGAGAGAGAGAGGGACTTCAGAGACGACCGGGTCAAGGGGAGGGAGAAGAAGGATAGAGGTAAATAGAGGCCCAACAGTAGACCCCAAAAGGGAGTGGAGGGTGGTTGTCTTTCAATGCAGCATAAGTCTAATGGTTGAATAAAACTTACTGATGATCATGCGGTTTGGAATAGTTTTCTTTCCCATCTGGAACTTCGGTTCAGGCTGATGTTATAAATTGATCAGCTTCTTCACATAGTTCTAAGAATATGTTATTTAACAGGATTGATAATCAATTTTGTAGTTACTGGTATCTGTACAGAGGGTGTTCTCCTTTTTTTTTTTTTTTTTTTTAAAAAAAAAAAAAACCTCTTGTTGCCCAGGCTGGAGTGGAATGGTGTGATCTTAGCTCACCGCAACCTCTGCCTCCCTGGTTCAAGTGATTCTCCTGTCTCAGCCTCCCAAGTAGCTGGTATTACAGACGCCCACTACCACACCTGGCTAATTTTTGTATTTTTAGTAGAGACAGAGTTTCTTTGTTTTTTTTTTTTGTTTTTTTTTTTTTTTTTTAAGAGTCTTGCACTGTCACTCAGGCTGGAGTGCAGTAGCACGTTAGCTCACTGCAACCTCCACCTCCCAGTTCAAAAAATTCTGCCTCAGCCTCCTGAGTAGCTGGGACTATGGGACCCCAGGTGCACATACCACCACACCTGGCTAATTTTTTTTTTTTTTTTTTTTTTTTGAGACAAAGTCTCTGTTGGCCAGGCTGGAGTGTGGTGGCCTGATCTTGGCTCACTGCAACTTCTGCTTTCTGGGTTTAAGCAACTCTCCTGCCTCAGCCTCCTGAGTAGCTGGGTTTACAGGCACATGCTACCATGTCCGGCTAATTTTTTGTATTTTTAGTAGAGAGGGGGTTTCACCTTGTTAGCCAGGATGGTCTCAATCTCCTGACCTCGTGATCCACCCGCCTCAGCCTCCCAAAGTGCTGGGATTATGGGCGTGAGCCACTGCACCCACCAGTAGAGACAGGGTTTCACCACATTGGGTCAGGCTGATCTCCAACTCTTTTCTTTTGAGACGGAGTTTCACTCATGTTGCCCAGGCTGGAGTGCAATGGCATGATCTTGGCTCACTGCAACCTCTGCCTTCCTGGTTCAAGTGATTCTCCTGTCTTAGGCTCCCAAGTAGCTGCGATTATAGGCACCCACCACCACACCCGGCTAATTTTTGTATTTTTAGTAGAGATGGGGTTTCACCATGTTAGTCAGGCTATTCTGGAACTCCTAACCTCAAGTGATCCACCTGCCTCGGCCTCCCAAAGTGCTGGGATTACAGGTGCGAGCAACCACTTCTGGCCTGGCGTCCAACACTTGACCTCAAATGATCCACCCGCCTCAGCTTCCCAGAGTTCTGGGATTACAGGCATGAGCCACTGCGCCCAGCCAGCAGGGCATTTGTAAGGAGCTAGCAGTATTCAAATGTAATTTGGAAGTAGAGAATTTGATTTTCTCCCATCTATTTGAAATGATCATCTTGAGTATGTGGCACAAAGAGGTGATGACCTAATCTCAGTCCTCTGTGAGTCCTGGTAGGAGGAACACTAACCTGGTCAGAATAAATTGCTGAATTGAAATAAATATGGGATAGAAAAGTGAATCGAAGGAGAATGTCCAAAGCCTTAATAGCAGAAGGCAGTCTGCACCGCCAGTCAGCATTCTTGAGCAAATGCACCTCCACCCTCACTCAAAATGCCGACTGCCTTTCTTCTTTTTCTGGCTGACATTTAAAATTAAAAACCAAAGTTGCTGGGCTGTGATCTATGGCAGTCTTCCAGGTTTTTGAAAAGATAAAGTTCGACAGAAGTGGTGGTGAAATGAAAATGAAGAATAAGGAGTGGTCAGGATCAATGAAAGAATTACAGCTAGTTCTGGTGGATTGATTTTTCCTTTCTCTCCTGATTAGTCTCTGGTGTGCTCGAGAGCTGGATCTGCTGACCTTAACTTCTGAGGACTTTGAGCAAGTACCATACTGTTCAGATGATTTTCAAAAAGTGACATTTAGCATGTTGATAAATGGCTGTCTTTGAAAGTTCATATTCTTAATAAGATGTTTCATGCAAAATAAATGATTTAGCAGGGCATGGTGGCTCACGCCTGTAATCTCAATACTTAGGGAGGCTGAGGCAGGTAGATCACAAGGTCAAGAGCTCGAGACCAACCTGGCCAACATGGTGAAACCCTGTCTCTACTAAAAATACAAAACTTAGGCATGGTGGCAAGTGCCTTTAATCCTAGCTACTCTGGAGGCTGAGGCAAGACAGTCATTTGAACCCGGGAGGCGGAGGTTTCAGTGAGCCGAGATTGTGCCATTGCACTCCAGTGAGGGTGACAGAGTGACTCCATCTCAGAAAAAACAAAAAACAAAAAAAAAACCCCAAAAACAAAGCAAAACCCAAAATAAATGACTTTAATACAATCATTACTAGTTTTTTGCATAGGAGTATGAATCTCTCATGGTGTTACCTAGGAACTGGACCAACCTACTGTGCCTTAAAATTGCTGTCAGCTATTAGAACAGTTTTAGAAAAATAGGCCCTTTCCTTTGTGAATTTCCAGTATACAATTTTACTATTTCCCAGATAAACAGAAAAATCAAAACAACCCTTGCAGGAAGCCTTTTTGATTTCATTCACATTTCATTTACAAAGTGTTCCCTTATGATGGTACGAGAAGTGTGTCATGGGCTAGGGTTGGTTGGTTCTCTAGAAAACAAGACTGCCTGCATTAGGGAAGCCTTGTGAGATACCATCAGGACAAAAAGCAAAGCCACTTGCAGTGTTTGTGTAGTTGTTAGCTCTGAGAATCGGAACAAGGAGAGAACGAAAACTGTGCACAGTCAGGCTGGGCGTGATGGCTCATGGCCATAATCCCAGCACTTTGGGAGGCCATGGCAGGTGGGTCACTTGGAGCTCAGGAGTTCGAGACCAGCCTGGGCAACATGGTGAAAACCCGTCTCTACGAAAAACACAAAAATTATCCTGGTGTTCGTGGTGCGTGCCTATGGCACCACCTACTCAGGAGGCAGGCTGGAGAATTGCTTGAGCCCAGGAAGCGGAGGTTGCAGTGAGCTGAGATTGCGCAACTCTGCTCCAGCCTGGGTGACAGAGCGAGACCCTGTCTTTTTTTTTTTTTTTGAGAGGGGGTTTCACTCATATTACCCTTTACTGTTTGTGTTTTTCGTAGAGACGGGTT